GGATGCAGAACCACAAAATCTCCCCTTAACACTGCTGCTCTGGCCCTGCAGCGCCACATTCCATCATTCTAGAGCCCTTTTTGTCAAACAAAAAATTAGGACTCTGTTTGGATGTTCGTGCGCCCTTTTGTTTGGGCCGAGTGTGCTCAGCATATTCATGTCAACGTGCTTCCAGGCTGCTTCCAAATAAGTAGGGCGAGCCCCAAGAGGCCACAGACTCTGAAGAGAGGGTTCGTCCTAGAAACACATTGGCGCCATTTGCTCGGGTCAGGTGTGCGGCAAAATAAGTGGGCGAACCCCAAGAGGCCACAGACTCTAAAGAGAGGGTTCGTCCTAGAAACACATTGGCGCCATTTGCTTGGGTCAGGTGTGTGGCAAAAAGGACAATCTTGGCGCGCGGTCAACGCCGGGCTGTTCACATAGAGCCGTGCACGTGGCCTTCACAAACTTGCTTTGTAAGCTTGCTTGGATTCGTTAGTTTCTCCACCGATTTTCCCATTCGCAACCAATTGCAACTGGTGACTTTGTGGAAAGGGCCGCGCACGCTGTCAATTGGATGCGTGTGGATGGCAAGTTGTGTGGAGACGGGGCCGGCGCTGCGCTTTTGCGGGGGGGCTCGGTGTGGACAAGCCTCGGTCACTTGGTGGGTCTGACGCCTGTCCGAAACAAGTCTGACACACAGTGTTACCACAATCTGCGTAGACCGGGGTCAGCTGTTCGGATGTTCATGCGCCCTTTTGTTTGGGCCGAGTGTGCTCAGCATATTCATGTCAACGTGCTTCCAGGCTGCTTCCAAATAAGTAGGGCGAACCCCAAGAGGCCACAGCTTCTCAAGACACGGTTCGTCCTAGAAACACATCCGCACCATTTGTTCGGGTCAGGTGTGCGGCAAAATAAGTAGCACGAACCCCAAGAGGCCACAGCTTCTCAAGACAGGGTTCGTCCTAGAAACACATCGGCACCCTTTGTTCGGGTCAGGTGTGCGGCAAAAAGGACAATTTTGGCGCACCTGCAACGCCGGGCTGTTCACATGGAGCCGCGCACGTGGCCTTCACAAACTTGCTTCGTAAGCTTGCTTGGATTCGTTAGTTGCTCCACCTAATTTCCCATTCGCAACCAATTGCAACTGGTGACTTTGTGGAAAGAGCCGCGCACGTTGTCAATTGGATGCGTGTGGATGGCAAGTTGGGTGGGAGGGGGCCGGCGCTGTGCTTTTGCGAGGGGCTCGGCGTAGACAAGCCTCGGTCACTTGGTGGTCTGACGCCTGTCCGAAACAAGTCTGAGACACAGTGTTACCACGATCCGCGTAGACCGGGGTCAGCCGTTCGGATGTTCGTGCGCCCTTTTGTTTGGGGGCCACAGCTTCTCAAGACAGGGTTCGTCCTAGAAACACATTGGCGTTTGTTCGGGTCATGTGTGCGGCAAAAATGCGGGGGGCTCGGTGTGGACAAGCCTCGGTCACTTGGTGGGTCTGACGCCTGTCTGAAACAAGTCTGAGACACAATGTTAGCACGATCTGCGTAGACCGGGGTCAGCCGTTCGGATGTTCGCACGCCCTTTTGTTTGGGCCGAGTGTGCTCAGCATAAACATTTTCAACGTGCTTCCAGGCTGCATAAGTAGGGCGAACCCCAAGAGGCCACAGCTTCTCAAGAGAGGGTTCGTCCTAGAAACACATCGGCGCCATTTGTTCGGGTCAGGTGTGCGGCAAAAAGGACAATTTTGGCGCACGACGGCGGTTTCCGTCTGTCACGAGCGTCCCCCGCGCCCGTCTCGCTCGAGGGCGGTTTCCGCCTTTCACGAGCGTCCCCCGCGCCCGTCTCGCTCGGGGGCGGTTTCCGCCTGTAGCGTTTCCCGCGCCCGTCTCGCTCGGGGGCGGTTTCGGCCTGTCACGAGCGTCCCCCGCGCCCGTCTCGCTCGGGGGCGGTTTCCGCTTGTCACGAGCGTCCACCGCGCCAGTCTCTCTCGCGGCGTTTCCGCAGTGACGAGCGTCCACCGCGCCATCTGCTCGCGCCCCGCACCAGTCTCGCTGGGGGGCGGTTTCCGCATGTCACGAGCGTCCACCGCGCCAGTCTCGCCGCGCGCGGTTTCCGCATGTCACGAGCGTCCACCGCGCCAGTCTCGCTCGCGGGCGGTTTCCGCTTGTCACGAGCGTCCACCGCGCCAGTCTCGCTCGGGGGCGGTTTCGGCCTGTCACGAGCGTCCCCCGCGCCCGTCTCGCTCGGGGGCGGTTTCGGCCTGTCACGAGCGTCCCCCGCGCCCGTCTCGCTCGGGGGCGGTTTCGGCCTGTCACGAGCGTCCCCCGCGCCCGTCTCGCTCGGGGGCGGTTTCGGCCCGTCTCGCTCGGGGGCGGTTTCGGCCTGTCACGAGCGTCCCCCGCGCCAGTCTCGCTCGGGGGCGGTATCCGCTTGTCACGAGCGTCCCCCGCGCCCCGTCTTGCTCGGGGGCGGTTTAGGCCTGTCACGAGCGTCCCCCGCGCCCGTCTTGCTCGGGGGCGGTTTCGGCCTGTCACGAGCGTCCCCCGCGCCCGTCTCGCTCGGGGGCGGTTTCCGCTTGTCACGAGCGTCCGCCGCGCCAGTCTCGCTCGCGGGCGGTTTCCGCATGTCACGAGCGTCCACCGCGCCAGTGTCGCTCGGGGGCGGTTTCGGCCTGTCACAAGCGTCCCCCGCGCCAGTCTCGCTCGTGGGAGGTTTCCGCTTGTCACGAGCGTCCACCGCGCCAGTCTCGCTCGGGGGCTGTTTCGGCCTGTCACGAGCGTTCCCCGCGCCCGTCTCGCTCGGGAGAGGTTTCGGCCTGTCACGAGCGTCCCCCGCGCCCGTCTCGCCTGTCAGGAGCGTCCCCCGCGCCCGTCTCGCTCGGGGGCGGTTTCGGCCTGTCATGAGCGTCCCCCGCGCCCGTGTCGTTCGGGGGCGGTTTCGGCCTGTCGCGCCCGCCTCGCTCGGGGGCGGTTTCGGCCTGTCACGAGCGTCCCCCGCGCCGGTTTCGGCCTGTCACGAGCGTCCCCCGCGCCCGTCTCGCTCGGGGGCGGTTTCGGCCTGTCATGAGCGTCCCCCGCGCCCGTCTCGCTCGGGGGCGGTTTCCGCTTGTCACGAGCGTCCACCGCGCCAGTCTCGCTTGGGGGCGGTTTCGGCCTGTCACGAGCGTCCCCCGCGCCCGTCTCGCTCGGGGGCGGTTTCGGCCTGTTTCGGCCTGTCACGAGCGTCCCCCGCGCCCGGCTCGCTCGGGGGCGGTTTCGCGTCCCCCGCACCCGTCTCGCTCGGGGGCGGTTTCGGCCTGTCACGAGCGTCCCCCGCGCCCGTCTCGCTCGGGGGCGGTTTCGGCCTGTCACGAGCGTCCCCCGCGCCCAAGCGTCCCCCGCGCCCGTCTCGCTCGGGGGCGGTTTCGGCCTGTCACGAGCGTCCCCCGCGCCCGTCTCGCTCGGGGGCTGTCACGAGCGTCCCCCGCGCCCGTCTCGCTTGGGGGCGGTTTCGGCCTGTCACGAGCGTCCCCCGCGCCCGTCTCGCTCGGGGGCGGTTTCGGCCTGTCACGAGCGTCCCCCGCGCCCGTCTCGCTCGGGGGCGGTTTCGGCCTGTCACGAGCGTCCCCCGCGCCCCGTCTCGCTCGGGGGCGGTTTCGGCCTGTCACGAGCGTCCCCCGCGCCCGTCTCGCTCGCGGCGGTTTCCGCTTGTCACGAGCGTCCACCGCGCCAGTCTCGCTCGCGGGCGGTTTCCGCATGTCACGAGCGTCCCCCGCCCCAGTCTCGCTCGGGGGCGGTTTCGGCCTGTCACGAGCGTCCCCCGCGCCCGTCTCGCTCGGGGGCGGTTTTGGCCTGTCACGAGCGTGCCCCGCGCCCGTCTCGCTCGGGGGCGGTTCGGCCTGTCACGAGCGTCCCCCGCGCCCGTCTCGCTCGGGGGCGGTTTCGGCCTGTCACGAGCGTCCCCCGCGCCCGTCTCGCTCGGGGGCGGTTTCGGCCTGTGACGAGCGTCCCTCGCGCCCGTCTCGCTCGGGGGCGGTTTCCGCTTGTCACGAGCGTCCACCGCGCCAGTCTCGCTCGCGGGCGGTTTCCTCTTGTCACGAGCGTCCACCGCGCCAGTCTCGCGCACCCAGCCAGCCCCACACTGCCGTCCCCCCAGCCAGCCTCGTACGCCCGGTCTGCATCCCCAGCCGGCATCGCACGCCCGGTCTGCAGCACAACGAAATGGAAATCCCTTCTTATCTCCGTCGTCACAGCTTGTATCGCTCCCAGGCACCTTAAGAGAAAACCTAAAGCAGAACCCAAGCATCAGAGATGCTTTTGGGAAAAACACCCCCGCGTCGCAGCGGTTTCATCAAAAGGTCCCCGCGCGATTCTCCCAACTGTGGCCCTGCCAGCCAAATCAAAACGTAAGCGGCGCCGCAGCAAGACGCACGTGCCAGCACGAACCTCCATTTCGCGCGAGACTGTCGCACTGAAAACAACTTTTTACGCACAGGGCCACGCGACTAAACCGGCCTTAACTCCTACCGTGCGAACTCCTAAACACTATTTGGAGAAAACACGGGCCTGCGCTCTCTTTCCCGGCGTGAGGCCTAAGAGGACGAAAAAATGCAAGCTGCGCATGGCTCCATTCATGTGCCTTTCTGCTCCGGTTGCATGCAGGGGCCGAGTGAACCAGCGCAGCCCTCAAGGTTGGGTATGCTAGGTGGGTAAAAAATGTGGGGCGAAGTCATATTTGTGTTCTTGTTTTTGTATTCTTCAAGTGTCACGGAGCCTCGGCTGAAACACAAACACGCATTGCGGAACGCTATCATGTTTTTGCAGCTTGGCGTCAAGCACGGCAACGGTCAAAGTTGCGCTCAGGGCTTGGCACCAAGAGTTGGGACACCAATCCGTCTCCCCACAAATGCCAAGTTTAGACGCGCTGGATTTCTGCCCAGGGCGGCCACAAGCTCTGAAAAACGCAACACACCAAAGCATGTTCGGCAAATGTTTTTTTGTCGGTCTGCGTCAGCTTTGGTCTTTTTTGCCGCTGGCGTCCACGCCTCACAAGTCCTCCTCGGGCGGCACACCATCCTCCAAAGTCGCCAAGTTGTTTGAAACTCGTGAGTCTTCACGCGCCTTGCCATCCCAGGGCTCGGCCTGGGAATCTCATCTCTGCACCTTCCGGCCTTCCGATGACTTATCCGATCCCTATTTCTGCCTTCACCGCCGCGGTCGCCGGCCACGGGGCCAACCTCATTGAAACCATTGAATGCACTTGTTTTGAGCTCCACTCTCAGGGTCATGCGGAGTCCCACCGCGGGCCAACGAGGTCAGGAATTGCGACACGGAGTCCTTGTCAAATGTGCCCCGATGCACCTGAGCCAAAGCAACGGAACCCAAGGATGGAGCCGGACAGGCTGAGCCCACGACACCAAATCTTCCCTGGACCAGGGGTGTGTTGATGCTAGAACTTCGGTCTTAGCTTCGCTTCCGTTGGGAGTTTGGACCGTAAGAACGAATATATTTAGCGCTCGCCTCCACTCAATTTTCGCACAACTAAAACACGAATTTGATCAAAGGCAACAGCCATCACAGGGGAGCGTCTTGGAGCCACTGAAGCCCCAGGGTCCACAATGCCGGTCATTTGTAAATTAAATGTTTTTTGTGCGTACCCCATCTGCTTGCTTGCTGCGGAAAAAGCAAATGAAATCCTGCTCTGCATCCCCTGCCATAACTTTGGGCCGACGCCCCCTAAAACGAGACTTCCGAAGGCAGGAGCTGTCCACGCAGATTGAGGAACCTTGGAAATGGTTCGGGAGACCCCGTGTCTTCGTTCTGAACGTCAAAGGTGCCCGTTCCTACCTGCAACCAGTGTTGGTTGAAGCGTACGCACGCGTAACTTCTGCGTGTTCTGATGAGCAAGCTTAAGAATCATGCTTCTCAGTGTCAAATCCTCTTGCGCGCGGCGCTGAAACCGAGGGACCCCTATGTAGGGGGGAGGGGGGACCCCCACATATACATTTAAGCTGCGACCACAATCCTACCGCACCCCCCCCAATATACATAAAAATCCGCCTTTGCTGGGTTTTGCCCCAAACATCAGCAAGAGACCAAAGCCAAGCAGGCCCATGGCAGACCCTGAAAAACTCCAGCTGCGCAAAAAGAAACGGCGCCCACACACAACACGCAAATTAGGAGCCCTCCTGAAAGACGTCCCACTTCACGCAAGTGATCAGCCCGACAAGTAGGCCCTGAAAGAAACAAGCTTCGCAAAAAAAACGGGGGCCACACACAAAAAGAAAAATTACAAGCCCTACAAACAAGATCTCACTTCACGCAAAGCAGCAGGCCGACCCAGTCGGCCAGCGCTAGGGCCTGAAAAAAACACAGCTAGCGCAACAAAACGGCAGCCACACACAACAAGCAAATTAGACGCCCTACGCAAAAAATCATTAAACTAGAGGACGATTGGCCCGAAAGCATTTTTCCACAGGTGCTCATCCAGCTGCGGAGACACTTTTTTACATCGCTGCGGCGAGCGTGTCTGCGCGCGGCGATGCTCGGTGTGTGTGGTCACATGAGAGCTCCATCTCATCATCCTACGTTCCTCTCGAACTGCGCCGCGCGATTTCTCACGAAAGTGGTCTGCGCAAGCTGCGTTGCTCCAGGCTGCTGCGCGCAAGTTGCTCTCTGCAAGCTGCTGCGCGCAAGTGCTCTGCGCAAGTTGCTCTGCGCAAGTGCTCTGAGCAAGTTGCTCTGCGCAAGTGCTCTGCGCCAGTTGCTCCGCGCAAGCGCCTTGCGCATGTGCTCTGCACAAGTTGGTCTGTGCAAGTTGCTCTGCGCCTGCTCTGTGCAAGTTGCTCTGCGCAAGTGCTCTGAGCAAGTTGCTCTGCGCAAGGGCTCTGCGCCAGTTGCTCCGTGCAAGCGCTTTGCGCATGTGCTCTGTGCAAGTTGGCCTGTGCAAGTTGCTCTGCGCAAGTGCTTTGTGCAATTGCTCTGTGCAAGTTGCTCTGCGCAAGTTGCTCTGCGCAAGTGACTCTGCGCAAGTTGCTCTGCGCAAGTGCTGCCGGAGCTGCGGGGGTGTGCTCCGCGTACTACGTTTGTACTTAAAAGTTGCGATTCCCCAGCCGGAGCTGCGGGGGTGTGCTCCGCGTACTACGTTTGTACTTAAAAGTTGCGATTTTCGAGCCTGAGCTGCGAGAGCACGCTCCGCATACTACGTCTGTACTTAAAAATTGCGATTTTCCACCCGGAGCTGCAGGAGCACGCTCCGCGCGGGCAAGATGTTAAATTAACCAGGCGTGTCTCTCTTATTATTTTTCACCGGCCAGAGTCGACGACGAGGAATGCCAATGCGGCTGACAGCCGTGACAGTGTCGAAAACAATTATAAGTCTGTGAGTCAGAAGTCTCTTACTGACATTAGCAATACCTGCCACGGCGCGAATGTCAAAAACTTATGGGACCTATTGCCCATCACACGCGTGCGTGAAACAGACAGAGCTTTGATTGACAGCCTAAGCAGCGCCAAAGATTCACAATTCCGCAATGTCCACAGACATTTGCGCCCGCCGTGCGCCCTGGGCTTACTGCTCGGACTGCAGAGCGCGTCCGCGCAGACCAGACTCACCACGGCATGGAGTCTGAGCGCTCGCCTTCCTTGTCGCCGTCGCCGTTTTCTTCGGCAGGCGCGCTGTGCGGCTTCTTCTTCTTAGGCTCAGCCTCATTCTCTCCGTCCTTGCCTCCCTCATTCTGGTTCTTCTTAGACTTGGCCTTTGCAGCAGCTGGCGGCTTGCCGCCCGACTTTGGGGCTTTCTTGGGCTTCGGCTTCTCTTCGTCGGGCTCTTCGGCGGTCTCTGCGGCACTCTTCTGAACCATCTCTGGCCTGTAAAACGTCGAGGCTTCGTCCTGCATGGACTGGAGCGCGTGGTCTGTCAGTCTCTTCTCGAGAGCTTGCGCGTGTGCTTCTGTCAGGCAAAAAGCAACGCAACAGAGCCGGAGCTGCAAACAAGCTGCGGCAGCTTGCCCTTGACCTGCCGACAAATCCAGCACGCATTTGGCCCCCCAGGCTGTGAACACGTCAGTGTACACTTCTGTGGGCAACATGAACGCGCTGAAGACAGTCTCCAGGGCCGAGTCGTCCCTTTGCCCTTGCGTCTCGGAGTTCTCTTTCGCCGCCAGCCGCTCGCTGCCGAGGACCGCTTCTTTGTCTTTCCTGCGGGGCCGGAGGGGAAAGACGAGAACAGAGAAAATAGGGAGAGAAGTCCATACTTATTATTATTACACTGTCTCTGTTTCTTCTTACGATTCTAATTATTGTTAGTATTAATACGCAAAAATAGACACAGTTGACTGACTGCAAGCGTCCGAGGCATGTGCCACATCTCGCTGGGCGGCAGAGCTTTCACGAGGCAGATGACGTCCGCGGAGTTCCATCCGCCGTGGTGGGGGTATTGTTTCTCTGCAACGGTCTTCATGAGCGGCGAGTCTGAGTAGGCCAGCAACGTCGAGCGCAGAGAATACGACCCGCGGCTGAGTTTCTTCCGGGCACGAACTGCCTCGTCCTGAAAAGCGATGAGGATGTCTCGCTCTTCGCAGTCCAGGGCAGCGTCTTGCCGTCCGCAGACGAAACAAGGGCCTAATCTCTTTCTTTGGCTTGTCCCCGAGGTGAATCAGAACGACGTCCCCTCAGGTGGACTCGTTGCCTGACCATCCTCCTTCGGGCGCACGCCGCGAGCTAGCATGGCGCCCTGGACCAGCTTCCGAAGCACTTCCTCGCTTGGGTTGTGTTTCTTGCGAAGGCCTTCGGCGCTGTTAGGCCCGGTGCTCTCGCCCAGCAGGCATGTGTCTAGCAACGTGAGGCAGGTTCCTGGAACAGAGGACACTGGGCTTTGACTGACAGCTTGCTGCACGGCCGCCTGCGTCTTAGGCTCCACCAGCAGTGTGACATAGGAGCGGACTGTCTGGTTGGCAACAGCTCTCCAGTATTTGTCACTGTGCAAGACGAAATGCGCTGGACCTTTCCGCAGCTCCTGCATGGATGCTTCTTCAGGCTCGTCATCTGCCTGTGGAAGGTCCGCCGCGGCTTTCTTCTCGCCTCTTCATTTGCGAGCTGCGCCGCAATCACATCCCACTTTTCTTTCAGGTCGTTGTGTTCCACGACCTGCTCTGGGATGGATCCAGCCCGCGCCGCCGGGCGCAGCTGATTGTCGTACACCTTGTTGCGCACGATGTCCTGGACAGAACGTGCACAAAAACTGACAAGCGCCGCAGTCAAATGCAAAAAGCTGGGTTGAAAAAACTACAACCAAGATTGAGTTGAGGTGTCCTGCAACAACTGGAAGACCATGTGCGCGCTCTTCGCCATCTTCGACATCCAGCTGACGTCTCCTTCGCTAAGATCTGAAGGCCTGATGAGTGGACATGTGGTCTCGGAGCAGTTGTCGATCTTCCAGCATCCCGTGCTTGGGCATCAGGACGTCGAAGAAGTGCTGCATGACCTGGGCGCCAGTACCACGACGCGCGGCCCCTTTGACTTATATTATCTTGACTTTTCCCTGTATAAAACAATATGAAGTGTGGATGCCAATTTAGCGGCACATAGGCCCCGCTATAATCAACTACTCTGCTTTCAAGGCACTTTCCACTTCAGTTCGTACAGTGCCACCAAGCCAGCATGGCGCTTGTCTCCTTGCAGGCTGTTCTGGGTGATGCTGCGCGCCGCCGAAAGACAGAGCGCCTCGGACGCAGTGAAGGCACCACTCCCGCATTGCAGGGCTGCTCGGCTTCTTGGCAATGCAGGCCAAGGCGCCCATGCGGTGACATGGGCTTCTCGTCCCAAAGTCATTCTCCAACTCCAGGAGGACGGCGACGCACGCCGGGTTGGACAGAATGTGCTTCGAGACTTGCTGGGCCGACTGAAGAAGATTGACAGTTAAGGCACCGGAATCGGCGTCTTCTCCGTCTTTGCGGCGGCCAGAGACGACCGACTTGCAACCGAGCTTCACTAGCTCTTGGACAAGCTGCGCGTCTTTCATCTTTTGGGCTGACGGCCCCATGTTTTCCACAACTGCCTTCATGCTCTGGAGCTCCATGGATAGCTGCATCGCAGTCCGACTCAAAGATTCGTGGTGCTGCAAAATTGCTTGCCGACGATTGTAGCTTTCGAGCCAGATGTCCGATTGCTTCATGAGGGTGAAAGAGCAAGGGATTGAAAGGTAGCCTTCTGCGAGGGCCAGCTCTCCGACCTTAGTGGCGGTGGCTTCCAAAGATTTATTAGTGTTAATAGAATAATTTTTAGAATATGTCTTGATAAAGAAAATGTAACAGCCACCCCAAACACCTAGAACTACGTCCGCCAGGACACCCAATTGCTCCCGCGCACCCAAAGACCATCGCGTGCGCAATCTCCTCCGGGCTGACCATTTGCAGCATGGACGGTGT